ATAGCTATAATTGTACCACATGGTTGAATTCAGTTAAGTTGGACTAGACTGTAATACAAACCGTTCAAGTTTGTCAACAATAAAACTGACTGAAATGAGAGAAAGACTGAGTGTGAGACTTTGATATTAGATAAAATGAATATTGATAAAGTTTACCTATATGTACAGAATGTGAATATCGCAAAATATTTTAAAAAATTGCAATAATATCGTATCGTGCGTTAAGTATTGTGATAATATTGTATCGTGTGATGTAGTCTAAGCACTTGTATTTTCAAATACCCCATCATAATTCATCAGAATACAAGGTGACCTCCATTTTAAACAATGGTTTAAAAGCCCCCCCCCCCAAAAAAAGAAAATTAGGTGCTTAGGAAAAAAACAACACCAAAAGAACCTTGATTCATTTTTTCTACACTGACTTATTAATTAATGGATCAGTCTTTGCATCTTTAGAGTGGCACTATCGCTGTCATACATACATGAGTGTGTCTGCGTATATTTATAGCATGTTTGGGTGTAGAGCACGTGCTTCATTGTGTAAATGTGACACACACGTGAGCATTAGAGAGATGCAGGCACCGGATAGCAGGAAGAAACCGTTCACAAACCCACTACCAAACAGCCTGAAAGGACACAGGAAAAATCAACTTGTTTGTCTTTCTGCCTCCACTTTTTTTTTTTTTTTGGTTTGGTCAAACCCTCATAATCCACGGGCCATAATCTGTAGCTGTGCTGTAATCTGGGGAAAAGCTCTCCCTTCGCTCTGCAGCTCTATCTGCACTTCATCCCTTCATCCTGCTCTCACACTCTAATTTTCCCTGTAATTTGCTAAAGAGCGCGTGCTGATTGGTAGTTCTGTTATTTCTGTTTACAGTGCAGCTGACATCATTTTCCTGCATGCATATGTGTGTGTGTGTGTGTTTATGTGTGTATTTATGGAAGTGCTGGTTCCTCCATATCTCTCTTGGATTAAAAATAAGAAGCATCCCTTCCCCCCAGCTGATGAATCAATGAGTGCAGATAACTGTGTCACCATCAGACTACCACAAAGCCACATGAACCCCGATACAGACCAGAATCTCACAACACAGAAACACCCACATGAGGCGCTTCCCTCTCAAACTCAGAACCAGGATTTGTATTTAATCTAATTCAGTTGACAGAGACAGAGTATCACTCTGCACATATAAAAGCCTCTCTTTTGTTTTAAGAACTGCTCTCAAAACAGACTTTCATCTTCAAACTCACTTATGTCAGCGCTAACCCGCTGCCTGACTGTATCAGTGACTTGATTTGTTAAATTAAATTTTGAACGAAAGGCTTTTCCTGCCTTCACATGAACTGCTTGTTTGAGAGCGCTGCCATAATCTTTCTCTGATACAGTCCTTGGACCAGGGTTCATATTTTTCCGATCATTTATTTTGTCATAACATCGTAACTGAGCGCTGGGTTACCATGGTAACTCCTCAACGTGCCATTCTCAGAGACTGTCAGTCATCTGGGAGGGATTACAATGACAAGACTATGATATTATTGTGAAACATCTCCCTGAAAATTGTAACTGTGGCTCATTCATTTTCACTTTGAAAGTCTTTATTGTTAACTGAGAGCCAAAATAACCAAGCAGGACTGAAAAGCAACCTTGAATGTAACACAGCAGACTCACAAACCTCAGGAGAGGTGAAACGGAGGGGTTTCTCAGGGGTTCTCATTATCAGAGATGTTCTGAAGTCCTGTTTCCATCACCTCCGACCTTTCCTGTCATCATGCATTTAGACTTTCAGCGTAACACGTAGCCTAAAACAAATGCCAGCACAGATTTCAGACAGTTGCACACATATGTTAAAAGTGACTCGAGTCAGGGTCACAATATGCTACCAGCCTCAAAATGTATAAAATTATCCTCAAAACATCTAAATGACAGACACAGACAACAAGCATGCTAGTGCTGTAGGATCATGACGCATCATGCTGGATGGGACAGGGCTCGAGCCCATCCTAGGATGACATACAGTCATCCGAAAAAGACTCTGTGCAGTCCTCTAATAAGTTTTCCCTTTGCATTGGAATTAAGAGGGTAAGTAGCAGCCAGTATCGGCTAATAAAATGCATAAAGTAAGTATGAGAACCTCTATAAAAGCAGAGGTTTGCTGGTCTGGAGTTGTGTGTTAACACAATGCCACAATCTTTCAAGGATTGGACGTCCCAGCAAATTCTTGCAATGCTCAGAGAAACTGTAAAAAACATAAGAGCTGTAGCTTAGACTCTACAGGTCTCCGTTAGTGTGTTAAATGTTAAAGTTCACGACTGAACAAGTATGGCTTCTTTGGAAAGGTTGCACAGCTTAAGTTTGCCAAGTTGCATCTGAATAAACCACAAGACTTCTGGAACAATGTTCTACTATACATAACGGTGAACATTATGTATAGTAGTGTTGTAAACTCATAATGCCATCATTCTGAAAGCATTCAGCTTCTAGTTTCACTATACAACATAGTTCACACAATTTTCATATTTACTGGTCCCCCTCATGACTACTCAAGGTTTGCGGTGACCATCCCATGAACTGGGATCCAAACCATCCCAGCAAAATGATCCCAATCCCAATGTTCTCCTTGTGTATATACATCTAATTATATATTACCTATTTAATAGCCAATTAAAAAAATGTTGTTTTCTGTATGCAGAGAAATTCCTCAAATTCAAATTCCTTATGCGTGTGCACAAACTTGGCCGAATAAAGATGATTCGGACTCTGAACATGTGCTGTGACTGTTGATAATTTCCACTGCTGATAGTATAATTACTTAATGGATTAATCCTGTTGATGGTATAATACTGAACAATCACAGTTCCCAGAGTCTGCCAAACTAAGGCTGCTTGATCTGAGTACCAAGAACATAGCCTGACAGAGATTACAATATTTGACTTTTTTTTCAGTCCACACATTTGCTAAGAGCTAGGATGAGGAGACGGTGTTTCGTGTGTAATCACACCTGCTATTCTCGAGTCAACAAGCTAACAAAAAGAAGCGCTCTCAGTGCAGATCTGTTACAGGTGTTCACTTGATGAATTGGGAATGCCAGATCTTACAAAGTGCTATAAGCTACGCCAAAAAAGACGAGAAAAAAAAGGGTCAGCGTTCCCTGATCATCAGTAAAGTCCATTTCAGTGGATCGCTACAACATAAAAGAGATACAGTTATGATAAGAATGCTCTCATATCTCTAAGATAAAGAGCTTTACTTCAGCTGAGCCAGAGATAATAAAACCATTACCAAATCGTTTAGGACTGTGCCTCACTTTGCGTGAGCAGGCAGTAGTTTTAATGTCGTCTCTTTTAAAGTGAGACTGAACGTCTCTTTCATCTGAAGTGATTCATTCAGACTCGAAAGATTCAGAACAAACTTTTGATTGATCTGTAACAAGAAAACCGAGAGTGCCGTGATTGCAGCAAGGCTACAAGCTTAAAAGACAAGGTGGTGTTGTCGAGTTTTCTCATTGTCTACAGCTACAACAACAACCAACAATGAGTCTGCTATTCTCTGTGCAGCTGCAGCTCGGTATTCCTGTGTGCCACACAACTCCAGCTTTGCCTCAGAATGATTGAAAACCCATCAGCCCAGCACACCGCTCCATTAGATGACATCTTACCTTATAGTTTACTGGCGTCGACGCCACATACATCTCTGTTGTTCCTGAAAATGCTGACTGGGAGACCAAATGTTTATTAATCTCAGTGGATATTCACCGACAGATACATCATTTCCTCTCGTCCGAGTTGATGAGCAGTTTTTCACAGATGTGTGTCTTCAGAGGGGGAGAAACGGGCAGATAAACTTTGGGTTTCCTCACAGAATTTTTATGAGAATCACACCAACGTTATCGTTTATTCAATTTAATACAGTAATCTTAGTCATCAGTACACGCTATATGAAAAAAAAAGCTTTAACCCAGCAAGATCGAGTTGATTTTTTTTTTACAATACAGACACACATTTAGCTTAAATATGGGTTAAATATGGGTTTATTAGCCAATAATAAACTGGCAGGTCTAACGGTCCTGTATCTGTGTCAGGTAGCAGTCTAACAGCTCTGAACTGAAACCAGAACTGCGATATGAACCTCCATGGTTTGCTGTTGTGGTTCTCTCTTCCTGTGTTATCTATCCTAATGTGCTGCAGAAGCAGAAAGTAGCCCACAAGCACAGCAGAAGCTACACGTGGGCTAGCGCAGCTGCCACGAAGGCTCCGCCCTGACTACCTGATAAGAAATCTTGCGTTTTTATCTTGAAATGAACATCTGTCTTTTGAGGTAGCGGTTACGTTTCCATACACCAAAATGTGTTTGGGTTTGAGACCGTTATATAAATGCCAGGGAGAATGAAACCCATGTGGTAACGTAGCTTACTTTATACCTCGTAGTGACGTTTGTAGGCTACTTAGCAGCCTATTAACAGTCTATTAGCAAAGTTAAAAAAATGGACCGTCACCAGCATGTCAGTGATGCCAATTGACTTTAACTGCATCACTATGTGTTGGTCTTGTATTGGGGTAGCTGTAGCTGAGGAGGCAGAGCAGGTCACCTATCAATCAGAAGGTTGTTGGTTTGATCCCTGGCTCCTTCAGTCTCTTAGGGAAGATACCCCATGTTGCTCTCTGATGCATACATTTGAGTCTGAATGGATGAATGAGGCATGTTATATAAAGTACACAAGTGCTATCTACTGGTTATTGAGAATTGTGTACTGGTACAAGTGATTACATGTCTATCGTTGTGTGTCCCTTCTATGTGAAAATATTTTCCAATATTCATCCCAAAGGTGGCGAAAGTGATTTCCAGTTGAGCTCTGACACTGAAACGAAATTTATGAAAGGAATCTCTACGGCCTTGTGTCGCGGTTCTCTCATCCTCTGTTGCAAAACTAATGCACAATGTCCAGCAGGGTGGTAGGTCTCTGCTACATCGCTTTAAATCATTTATGTTTACAGTGGTGCTTTTTTTCTGGGTCTTCTTCCAGTCAAAGTTCGTAATATGCTCTTTTTTGGGGTGTCCTTTCGTTCCGTTAGTTACGGAGCTTTTTGTGAAAATAAAAGGTTTAAAAAGTAACAAAGCCCTCTTCAGTGGGAGTTACTGTCTCCTACAGAAACACTTGTTAGCAGTCCGGCCGTTTCTCCCGTTTCTTATCTATGTCACTACTGTATGTAACACACTGGCACAGAGCTCGCCTAGCCTTTCGTTTGGCACGCCCTCAAATAGAGAATAAGCAGCTGCCTCGCAGTCCCTCATTTCTATTTACTCACTAGAGCTGCTTCTGTTACCTCTAACTCTGAAGTGTCTCAGCAAAGCACACCAAATGTTCTGCTGCTGGCTGAAGGAGCAAACACAAGCGTCTCCATGCACTCCAGGGGCATCACGGAAGAGCGGATAACTCCCAAAATGTTGACTAATGACTGGAAATCTAAAAGTTAGACAGTGACCACAGTGACCAAGGAAGGCTTTTTTTTTAGTCACACCACTTTTTTACCTGTTCACATCACCTCTGGGTATTTTCCAGAGTTTCTCACATGTATCACACAGCAGAAAATGGTGTGTTCGGCGCTCGCCCTGGCACAATGAGGCTTCACATGCCAGGTCAGCGACTGCTGTAAAGTTCGATCTAGCTGATCCTGCGATAGGAGCTCTCACTGCCACCTCAGTTGGGTAAAGTCTGGAAAAGTTCAGGGCTGCGGTGCATGCGTGTAAACAGCTACTGATAACGACTGATAGAAATTTGTGGTTTTCTGGCCTCTGAAGGTGGTCATGCCAGGAAAGCTTCTGTTCCTTTCATCCACAGCATCAATGTGTGACATTTCAACACAGCAAATAACCAACACAGCAAAACCTCCCTTTAACCCGCCACAGTGCTGCTCTGAACCTCATTAGCATACTATTAATAATACAAACACAGTCAGGCACATGACTAACACCCGATGTGTCAAGTGTGTCCCTGTGTGTGTGTTTGTGTTTGTGTGCGTATGTACCTGCCTGTAACTGTGTGTCTGGGGTGTGTCAGTGTGTGCGTTTGAGAAAGCAACAATTCTCCAGCAGAGAAACCTGGCATCCTGTTTAATTATTCAAACATAAACCTGGATTTGAAACACACAC